GAGAGAGGGCACGCAAGGCCTTCTGAAACCACTGCCGATACCCACTCGGATCTGGAAGGAGATCTCCATAGATTTCGTCGAAGGACTACCAGAGAGCGAAGGCATGACTAGCCTGATGGTGGTCACTGACTGGCTCAGCAAGGGTGCGATCTTCGTACTGCTCCCGGATACGAAGACGGAAACCATCGTCCAAAAGTTCATCGAGCGCGTGGTTGCATATCACTGGCTACTAGACGCTATTACCTCCGACAGAGGCAGCTAGTTCGTGAGTACACTATAGGCTAAACTATGCGAGCTTCTAAAGATTAAGCAGAGACTATTAACTGCCTACCACCTGCAGATAGACGGCGCAATAGAGAGGATGAACAGCGTCTAGGAAACCTATATCCAATCGTTTACAAACTAGGCTCAGGACGACTAGGCACGGCTCTGCCTGATGGCCTAGATTGCGATTAATGGCAGGAATGCAACGTCGACTAGAATGACACCTTTCTTCTTACAGCATGGACATGAGGTAGAGCCGCTGCAGCTAGAGCTTGGTAACGAAAGACAACAACGGAAACTAGCTAAACAGCTTTCGGACGAACATAAAGCAGCAGAGATCGCGGTTAAGCTACAACAAGCCGTAGAACTAGCCCAGGCAGGCATGGCGGTTGCTTAACAAGCAGAGATGTCAACAATCAAGCTGAGTCAAGCTCATCAATCAAGCTGGATTGACTCAACGGTCAAGCTAAGTCAAGCCAAGCTCATCAAGCTGTATCAAGCTGTATCAAGCTCGTCAAGCCCATCAAGCTGAGCTTGATAGAGCTTAATGAGCTTGATACGCCCGTGCGTAAAAAAAGAAGAATAACTATGAACTCCTTTACGTAGGCTACTAATCTATAGTAACGTTAACTCTTCCCTCTATCTCTAATACTATACGTGTCAATTTATTATATATATCTTCTTATCTTACCAATTTCTTGATTACAAGCATGCCACTAAAAAGACGCGTCTAAGCTATTGTTGCTACCCCACCGAAGCGGTCTCGGGGCGTGCCCCGCGGTACTCTAAGCCAGCCTATATCTATCGAAAGCCCGCCATCATCCTCTCGCTTATCACCTCGTCAAGCTCTAGTTGAAGCGTCCTAGGTATCGAGCTTCAAAGCGCGGCTGCGCGAAACGCAGGCTCGAGAAGCTATCATCCCACCCGCTGACGGCAGCGAGGAGGCAACGATAGCTTCTAACGAGCTTGCTAGTATAGGCTTCGACGAACACCTAGTAGACGCCTTCGAAGGTCTTGACTGGGACCACTTTCCTCAGTATATGAAGCCTTTGGCGTCGCAGCGCGGGAAGAAAAGCTGGATATACCTTTATAGCTACCGCGTCGCGTCACGGCTTAATCCTAGACGCCACTACTTTATATGCCGCTTTTGCTATAAGCAAAAGTTTATTAACGCTGGTGTCTGTTGTATATATAAGACAACAAGATCAACGTTAGCAGCCCAACGACATCTTGAGGAGGACAAGCCCGGCCATGGCTACAAGACACCCGAGAAAGTTGATGCTGAAGTACTCAATACTATCCAGGCTGTGCTTACTGGCGATCGAGTTAGCCAAGCAGTCGCGAATGAGCTCTCTGGCTTTAATATCCAGCGCTTTAGGCTTGCAGCAGTTGCCTGGATTGTTAAGACTAACCAGCCACTTTCTACTTTCGAGTCGCCAGCTTTTTGGGACCTTATCGCGTCAGCTAATCCACAAGCAGAGAAAGCTTTATGGACTTCCCATAATAGCGTCTCTAGTTATATCATGCGCCTGTACGACTACCTTAAGCCGCGGGTTATTACAGCGCTGTCACAGGCACAGAGTAAGATACACATCAGCTTTGACGGCTGGACAAC